CAGATGTTCACAAAACTGAGGCCATAATACATCCATTAACTTAGAATATGTAAATTAGTAGAAACAGTAATAAAAATTCATTGTCAAATTGCAATTCACACAAATAATTCCCAACACCAATTTGCAATCATAATTCACGGCAGACACACAAATAATTCCCGACAGCAATTTCCAATATTAATTTGGCACAGGACATATAAACTGTGATCGGCAATTTAATCATATGCATAAACACATGCTCTGATACCACATGTAAGAAATTTAACGGGTATATCCATAACTATTAGGCGGAATTGAATAAACCCTAGGCATGTAATTCTATTAATTCATAGAACATGGATCTTTGCATAAATTAAATTGCACATAGAACTTACAAGAATCCAGCTTATAGTCCTTCCATGTTCATCTATGATGTTGATCTACGATCATCTTTCTCGTAAACTTCAATAATGGATTCGTCTCATAATCTCCAACAATGGATTCGTCTTTGCCTGTGAATTGTTTCTCTCTCCCGCGTCTCCCGTGTCTCTCGTCTTTTCATAAGGCTCTTGATGTTGAGAACTCTATTTCGTATGAGATGGGAGAGAGGGGCATGTAATAATATAGATAGGAGGAGACCTACAGTCCTATTCCTACTAACATTCCCCATGTTCTAACCTAACTTACTGTCCAAGTCAAACATCACAAATTGGACTCTTTAATATTAGAACATTAATAATCTATTAAATATATATTCACCTTAATTAAGTTTGACTATTAATTCAATTAGGTCTAACTAATTATATGGTCCACAATAATTGAATAATATATAAAATATTATTACATGGACAATTGAGCTTTTGTTTGTTTATATATTATATTACAAAGTTAGAATGCTATTATAGATTGTTTACCAAAATGACCTATTGTTAATTATGTAATTGGTACTATAATACTAATATAAAATATAACAATAATGTATAATATATATATATATATATATATAATATTTTGTACGAAAAAAATGAAACGGGACAAACGGGACGATTCGGGACAAAAATATTCAAAATCGATACTGACATTGTTTAAAACGATTCCGTACTGGGAACGAAACAAAAATAAAGAGAATATTTCGGAACCTTATTTTTCAGAACGGGACCATTTCGGTCCGGTTCGGTACGGATTTTTTTTTTTTTTGTCTGTCCATCCTTATGATCATCAGTGGATCACCAGATGTACTTGGACTTTGTTCTTTTTTTAGTGTAATTTTATCTATTGTTTGGAAAAAAAAAAAAATGATCATGTTGTGCATATTATTTATAAGGTCAACAAAATTTGAAATTTTTTTTTTTTGTAGCCAGACATGATATCCGAAACTATGCTCCGACTAATTCGTTGGTCGACCGAGTCGCACGCCTGGCAGTGATAGGTGAACAAAATTTGATTTTATTCTAAAAAACAAATGACTATTTTTTTTTCAACAATTAAAAAT